CAATAGTTTTATGGCACAGAACAAACAGGGCAGCTTTTGTTAGACCCTGATCAACAACCATGAGAACCAAGTCATATTTTTGTTCTCCCAAGACCGGGAGATCCATGATGAGATCCATAGATATTTGTTGGAACAGGAATGCTGTTTTAGGGGTTTCATGGGGGATGACTGGCAGGGTAGGGGGGTGAGTCACCACCTTAGTGGTCTGGCAGATGGGACACCCTGCAATGTAAGTTCGTATATCCTTTCCCATACCTTCCCACCAGACTTCCTTTCACATCTTTGCAAACATCACTTTTTGTCCCAGGTGTCCTGCCAACTCGTGATCGTGATATGAGTGCATGCAATGGCAACAGTCTTCAGGGGGAATGTATAGCTGAGTCATTCTGAACCATTTTGTTCCATCTTCTGTGATTGTGACATTATCCTTAGGTTCCAGACCTGTCGAATCCTTTGGCATATCATTCTTGATGCATTCATACAGGTCTGCTGCTATTGCATTAACTCCCCATGCTCCTTTTACAGGTTTCCTCAAAGGGCGAGCATCAGGCAGCCTATTCTCCTTTGATTTCTCCTCAGATGGGTGAGAATACAGCTTTGAGTTATCTTTAGACTGATGTATCCATGCAGGAAGTCATCCTATTCACATTAGGTGGTTAACTTTTAGTTGTTTTTGTAGTTTTGTAATGGAAAAAGTGGGGGAAACAAGATGAATTCAGGAATCCACCCCCTCCAAAAGCCAAAGGTCTGGGGGAAGGACTGTGGCCACAGGGGCAGGCTCCTCCACAGTCCCCTTCCAGGAAAGAGTGTCTGCCAGCACCTGTAGGTGACCAGCCTGCCAGGAGAACCAGATAGGGTAGGATTGGATAGTGGCAGCCCATTGGGCTTGCCATGGAGTGAGCTGTTGAGGCTCCCAGTAGTATTCCAGGTTCTTGTGGTCAGCAAAGACCACAGTAGGTTTGACAGGGGAGAGGAGGTATGGGCAGAAGGCCTTGAGAGTGTGAATGACAGCCAGCATTTCCAAATCATAAACCTGGTAATGCTGTTCAGCTCCAACCAAGGACTGTGAGAGATAGGAACACAGATGCCATTCATTGTTGGCTCCTTTCTGGGCAAGAACAGCCCTAGTACCAAGCTTCAAAGCATCTGTGAACAGGGAAAAGGGCTTCGAGAAGTCTGGAATAGTGAGGACTGGAGAGGAGCATAACAAAAATTTTAACTTTTTGAACACAGCATTGCATTCCTGAGTCCACTGGTAAGACACCCCTTTCTTGGTAAGGTCATGAAGGGGGTGTGTGATGCTTGAGAAGGAGGGGATAAATTCGTGATAGAAATTACAGAATCCAAGGAATCTGTGAAGCCCAGTAAGGTTGTCAGGGGCTTCCCAAGTACTAATAGCATCGGTCTTCATCAGCAAAAGTATACTGTGGCCTTCCTTGGTTTGAAGTCTTCACAAAGTCTAATTTCATGATCTAATCCTGGCTGATGTGCTGGGAGTGGTATATCATCTTCCATGAACACCTTGGTGAACTCCCTGTACATTTCTGGAAGCTTGACCTCCTCTGTGTTTGTTGCCAAGGCTGCTTTGAGTTCTGTAGACAGAGTAGTTTTGTTAATGGACACCTCAGGGATTTCACCTGAGCTCATTTTTATTACTTCCAGGGACAGACTGGGAGGTTCCTTCATACTGTCCATGCCTTTTGGCACCAGCTGTTTTATGAAATAGTCAGATCCTTCAGGACATACATACCCATCATCCCAGCAAGTAATCTTGCCAGTCTCCCAGTTCATTCTTGGTTTGAACTCCTTGAGGAAGGGCATTCTGAGAAGGACATGTTCTTTTCCAATGAGAGGGCCAACATAACACTTGACTTGAACAGTGCACTCCTTGATTTCCATTTTCAGGGTTACCTTGTGGGTGACCCATTCTTCATCTTTTCCAGTAAATGAGGTCATTTTGAACTTCTTCTCCACACAATATGTTGGGATCCGAAGTTTCTGAACCATCCTTTCCAAGATGAGGGAAACTTCTGTGCCTGAGTTGATACAGGCCCATATTCCTGCTTTGTAGTCTGGCAAAATGACAAGTCCAAGAGGGGAATGAATTCACATGTTCAATTCATCATCTATAGAAGTACATTTAGTGGACAACACTGAGATGGGACTGACTGATGCAGGAAGTTCATCAGTCCCCTTCAAAAACCCAACAACTTCTTTTCCTCTGTATTTGCTTCATGATCTCCAACATAGGTGGTCTTTGTTCCATCCTCCAAGAGGATGATGCAGATGTTAGATAGTTGAGTCTTGACCTTCGCCTTACAGTCATGTTTGATGTGACCCTCGGCACCACAGTTGAAACACTTAATTTCTGACCCAGAATGGCAAATGTTCCATTTATGTTTGTCAACATCCATCGCATCAGGATCTTGGGAACCTCCACAGTAATGAATGAATTTGCATTCATACCAAGATTCCTTCCCTTCTAGGATATGCTTTGTCACGCTCATGGTTCAAGCTTCTCCCATGCACTGAATCCATTCTATGACTGTAGATGGGGCATGTCCAGAATTGAGAACCCAGTCATGACACTCCTTATATAATCCTTTTCCAAAGAAAATCCCTGCTTCACGCAACTCTTCTTTAAGTTGAGCCTTGGTTACAAGTCCAGTGAACTCAGTGGTGTATGCTTCTAGTTCTCATTTGCCTTGTTGGATGTCCGAGAGATGTAAGATTGCAAGGGCAGTCTGATCTCCCAACTCAAAGGTGGACTTGAGCCTTTCAATGAACCTTTGAAAGGTGTCAGTGTAGTAGATCAAATCATCGAGCAACTTGTTTTCATTTTGATAGTTCTTGGCAAAGGACACAGCAGCACCCTTGGTCATATATGTGAGCACAAATGAGATCTTGAGTGATTCCGTGTTATAGATGTGTCTGTTCAGGTTCAAATATCCTTCGACCTGCATAATCCAGGTCTGAAGCCTGTTGTGGCTTCTGTTGTATTCTCCAGGATGCCTGACATTAAACTCCCAACCTCTGTTGGGTGGGTGGCTTGAGTAGTCATCATCTTCATCGGCTTTGGCTTTCCCCTTACTGCTACCACCAGTGGATAGCTCTGGGGGTATGGCCTTTCCAAAGTTCCTATGATACCATTCTCACAAAGCCAAGTCAGTAGGCATACCTGTTGGGAATGGGTCACTTGTAGTTGCATGCATAGCCTGGCAGAGCTCCTCCACCATTGTGACTCTTTGTTCTTCCAACCTATGTCTCAGTTCCTCTTCCAAAATGGTCCTTGGGGGCATTTCAGGAACCGACTCTCCATGACCAACAGTCATGGACATTTCTTCTTTATTATGTGCTTCTTGTTCTTCTTTGAGGATTGATCTGAAAGAAGTCTCAGACTTCTGATTGTCTTCTTCTTCTGAACTAAGTGCAATTTCTGAATCCCTAAATTGGGACAGATAAGACAACCAGGGGTTGGTTGCAGTAACCAAGGGACCAAGTCATCCTAGAGGGATGGGTGGTAGAGGAGGGTCCAAGTGGGTTAGGATGAGGAGGGACTGGAGGCCCTGATCTCTGTGGGTTAGACACTTTTATGGATAGTGACAACAAAGGCTGAGGGAGGATTTATTTCTTGAAAGAAACCTGTCAGTGTAGGGTGATTGTGTGTGAGTGACTTTACATGTAGGGAGACACAAGCATCGACTCTAGGGAGGCAATCTATTAAAGCCTAGTGGCTGCCTGTAGAGTGGTGAAACTGATTGAGGGTAGAGGGGTGTTTCTTGATTTTTATTAAGGCTGAGAAATGGGATGGAACTGGTTTGTTGAAGTTCAGTAACCAGGGATGAGTAGACTTTCACAAAGAGGTCAATGAGTCCCAAAAGCTGCACAGAGTTTTTCAATTTTGTTATGCCTGAGTGCAGTGACTTCTTCAAATGGAATAGGCACAAAGCACATGAGGGGGAGACCACAGGCCAAACTTGTCATAACCCCTATGGCTCAGCTATTACAGTTGTCTGACAACAGTTCCTTCCTTCTGGTGAGTTCTTCTGAGATCACACAGAGGAGGAGACAAGGACAAGAACAATGGGACAAAGCTGAGTTGCAAGCTATCAAAAAACTGAGGATACAAGGTAAAGTACAAGGGTTTATATATGTCTAAACATGAGTACCATACCAGTTGCAACAGGACACATCGCAATGCATATCTGTGGTAATCAACAAAACAATCAGACAAACAGATAAGTCAAAGGGAGTCATATGGTGTCATTTGATGGGGATAGGCAAGGGGATGAAGGCTATACTGGCTGCACAATCAATACATGGCAAGGAGCCAGACACTGGAACTATAGTACAACATGTGAGCAACATAAATGAGTCAGAAATGAGTCACCAGAACTAGAACATGGCATGTTGTCCATCAAAGAGGGCAGTGGTACACTGGATCAAGGCAGAGGTGTGGTCTCAACAGGTATTGGAAATACCATGACAGCTGGAGATCCAAGTGAGCCTTGCAACATGTGAACCCCTAAGATGGTGACAATTATGAGGGACACAACCAAGCATGTGATGCACATGACCATGAGGAGTCAAAAAAGGAAAGATTTCTGATGCAGGCATAAACATCACATTGAATGAAACTGTCATAGGGAAGCTAGGAGGCTCCCACATTTGGTTTGGTATAGTGGAGTCAATGAGCCATACCTGGCTTTTGTACAGTCTGTGACCCATGGAACAGGCAACTGTAGAGGAAGTCTTGCATGGTACAAGAGGCTACTGAGTCGATGTGGATAAAGATGCAGCCAAAAAAAGTACGAAGAGGACTAGATGATCATGATAGAGACAAATTCTTCGATTCCCCACCTGCGGCTGCCAACCAGGCTGGAGATATGGGTATCCCGCCCATCAGGGGACGATGGTTACAGATGAATAGTGGAATAGCTGTCGAGCATGTTCAGCGAGCTAAGCCGCATAGGCGAGGCCTCCAAAGGTTAAAGCGTGTTGTGATTGTCTGTCTCATGGTCGAGCCCGCGAGACTTCATTTGCAGCCACCCGATCGCAGTGCGTCCCCATTACGCGGAGGCAATAATAAGTATGGGGAGTGGTACACATATGTATTGAACACGTGGAGAAGATTGATAAGATGTATCTTGGCAATTGAAAGGTGCACAAAACAGAAAAAGAAAGGGTCCATGAGCGTCCATTATTACGGAGATATACCTAGGTATATGTACGCAATGGCACCACCGTGGTCGTCCAAAAACTTTTCAACATCAGGATACGTCTATCTAACTGCGCACGTACCTTACCAATACGAGGACGGGGTGTGCGCGCGCACGGGATGACAAAACTTGTAGCACCAACCTGGGATGGATCCTTGTCGGATTCATCTCTCAAGTGGGAGGTTCATCCAAGTCGTTTATTACCCCTCTTCTTTCTTCCTCCCACTTGCACTTGTGCTGATACCGATACCCAACGGGGAATGCCTTTTCCCCTCTTCGATACATGAGGTTGTGCGGGGTCGTTTCCTCGACGCCGACGTAGGTGACATCATCAATCCCCCGCCACCCACACCACCCCCTCCTATACCCACCCCAGCCTCCCGCTCCGACCCAGACATCCCGCTCGTCGCATTCGTATAGTCGCGTTCAGCGGAGGGAAGGGACAGTTGTAGAGGATGTCCCGAATTTGATGTGCCATGGGAGAGGAAGTCAAGCCAGGATGTGTTGTTCGGCGGTTGCCCTGAATGTGAATGCGCAAAACGACGTACGCCGCGTTTATCAATATGTATACACATGGAAAGGCACGGGGAGATATGGGTACCAGGCCCAACTAGATTGAAAATACATACCTGCTATCGGCTCCTGATGGCCTCCTTCTTGGGGTGGCGTCTGCCGCGGTGCTGCAGTCGCGGGTCCATGAGTCGGCCAATCCATAGCCGTGAAATGCGGTAGTTGGGATGATGACGATAATGGCCGATGATGAGTTGAGTGATGTGCATGGCCGTCAGCGGATTCCAGCATTTCAGGGAAAAAATCACTTGGTTGGGATTGGGATTGAGACTGGTTTGAGTGAGAGTGCTGACCGAGAGAATGACGCATTGAGGGGTGGTGGGGTTGCTGCTGCTGATAAACACTTTGCAGTTGTCCTTGAGGGTCGTGATTGTGTAGAGGTGGGTACGTCGAGGAACGTTGGCTGTACAAGCCGTCCCGAGAGATGGGTACATGCCCGCCTCTCGGCGCTGATGACGAAGAAGGAAAGTCGAACGACGACCCGAGAAGAGAGGAGGCCGGCGATCCTAGATAGGGAGTGTATGATAGTGATTGACCGTTATGGCGATATCCCGATGATGATGCGGACGTAGGCGAGGGGATGTAACTGCTATTGAGAAGGGCTTCGTCGCCCGAGAGTTTGGTGGCGCTGCCTGGTGGCCGGTTCACATTAGTGGCCGAACAGAAGAAAGGCTGAGACTGACCATTGGTAGATAGAGGCAATCGGGAAGAGGTGTGTCTCTCCGTAGATATAGGCAGAGATGGAGCTGTTGGGGCGGATGGAAGCTGGGAATGGGGATGCAGTGGTGGTGCGGGTAGTGCGGCGTGTCGATGTAAACCATGCAAGCTGTAGTCTCCGACCTGTCCAGTAGGATGAGCGTATGGCAAGAGAAAAGTGACATTTGAACCACATACGTCTACGCTACCAAGGTTCGAGTCGGTAGGAGTGGGCGGCACAACTGCCTTTCCATTGTTGTTGTACTCCTGCTTGAGCTTAGGGTTAGATGACTTTTTGACGGTACTGCACGACTCGTGCTCTTCTTCTTCGGGATCTTCCTCCTCGGCGTCAGCGGCGTCGCCTGCCTTGCCGCTGTTGGCGTTGTTGGCAAAGTCGTGGGGGAAACGGGTATCCTTTTCGCCGTCATACTAGTTATAAGGGGGAACCGACATTAATGAATGAGCGAAATGGAGAAAGGCGGAAGGAAGGACATGCCCTGATATGACGTTGAACAATGTCTTGGACGTCTCCTGAGCAGTACTGGTAGAGCTTTACGTGATGTCCTGGGCGCTCCTCTGTAGAATATATCCGACATATGGACGACTCGTGAACTGGAAAGGGAGGCGGCAGAGGAGATGGAACATACCAAATATGATGACGGCAACGTCTACGGAGCATAGGACTCCTAGTTCGTATGCTTTCTTGAAGAGGCCATTCTTTCGCTGTGGGGTAGTAGTGGGCAGGTACGGGACGATAATAATAATTGAGTGCCAAGACTCGCTGAGCAAAAATAGACTCAACAGGTTTACCTTTAAAAAAGTGACTGAGCGATTACGCTCGTGCTATGTTTATGGTGGTCAGAGAGGAGCAGTTTAAAGATGGAAGAAGAACGGCGCAGAAAGAGGGTCAAGTGTAAATATGGCGATGGCGGGTTGGAAAAGCGCAGCGCAGTCAGTCAGTGATTACAGTCATCGCCCTGCAGACAAGACAAACAGCGTGGGTTGACACTCACTGTGATGGGTTGAATTTCGATCTTTCGCCTGCCCATGACTAGTAGCAGGAAGAAGAATTGGATGGGGAGGGAGGAGGAGCAGAGGGGGTCCCGGCGTGTTTCTATCTTAACATTTAGCCCTCTCCTCTCTCCCTTGTAAATTCCGCGAGTCCGGGTGCCGAAGAGCGCTCAGATCCCATCTCTCCGGATTCCATTTCCTTTTTGTGCCCTCAGATTCGAATCGGATTCTTCCTTACTAACCAGGTCTACGGAAGTTGGTTTACCCACACCTCCTCGACAACCAACCACAATAATATTGCTATTCCCCACTTCACACCCTTGTCACCCGTGAGCGGAAGCAACTCAATCGGAGTTATCGGCATGCCAGCGACCACACCAGAAACCTGGATGTGTTTTTTCTTCATGGTCTATCTCTCTTTCCTTCATGGCGCTCGATCGCATCCAATAGCCCGGTGCGCCCTTTTGTTGGAAGCCCTCGCAGTCGTGTGCCGCGATGCCGCAGGGACGGCTCGTCAATTTGTACCTGATCGATTAGTAACCGACGTCATCACCTGTAGTCAGACCGTGCCAGCAACAAATTAAAATATATATAAAAATCTCCCAAAAATAACTCGGTCCCAAAAATAATGTCTGGCATAGAGCTCATACTACTATCATGGCTGCGTACTGCGCAGGTGAGGTTGGGAGACCACATAGACAGAGTCCACATGGGTCTGTCGACGAGGGAACGTTGGTCCTCGTTGGTCTCGGCGGCCTATTATGACATGCCAGTACTCCACGGTTTTTTCCGTGTGACGGCACTGCATTCGAGTGTATTTCGGCGGCCCTTGCATGTATTCCCATTCCTGACCCACGAAGTTCTTCCTCTCCACCTCCCCACGGTGCTATTCCCATTCATCAAGTACCACCGTGTCGAAGAAATGTTCGCCGAATACTTTATACTGTTTTATTTTCGGACGGTGCAGGAGTATTTTCGGCTTGCAAGAATACGCGTGCTGTATTTTTACGCACTCTACGTCGTACATATATTACAACTTACAATAGTCTCCTCTGTCTTGTCCTTTCTTCCCATCATATCAGCCCACACTTCCATCAATGGTCAGTCCCTCGTGGCGCTCAGGTCTCATCTATCCCATCTGTCCATCCATCCGATATCGATATTGTGATATATCGATATTAAATCCCTTCCCTGCGCCCTATTGAGTATCATCAACACGACCCATACATACTACCAAGCAACTGCTTCCGACCATTGATTTCTAACAACATGCATGCTACTAGGGATCGAACATCTTATGGCGAAACAACCTCCAGCATATTTCTCTCCTTCCGAACATGCGGCAGGCCGCTCGGTCCAGGCCTGCATCCGTGTTTCGAGCATTTTTTGCCGTGTTAGGTAGATGTTTACCCACTCCATCGTCAGCCCACAACTATCACAGCCTCGCGTCTTCTCTTCCCATCTTCTGGAACGTCATGCTTCTTCTTTTTATCCCACAGGTGGTGGAACGCTACTTGCGGTCGCTCTTGGCTTGCACACGACCTTCCCCGCCAGTTTATCATCTGTCTCCTCGGACTTCACAGCCCCGAATGCCATGATTCGTCATACATTAGGGTGGTCAATATCACAAGCAAGTCACCCGTGACAGATTAGAGATTCGTTCGGATCCTTGCGGCCTTAATCATGTGTGCACGCTGCGCGTGCTCGATACTTCACAGGAACGCGCGAAAAGGCAAATCAGCCCTTATCTTGGCTTCTTCTGTCCTCGCGTCTTAGGGACACGTCGGTCCTGTTTTGCATATGATCATGTTTCGAGTACTGCTATTGCCACGACGGAACTGAACCCTTGTCTAACACAAGTTGGATGTGTGCGATCAATGCATGCCCCGTGCACATGCATGCAATACCCCGTCCATCTGGCATGTGACATTGGAAGTAGCCATCTTACCCACTCTTGTCAGTCGCCCGCGCATCTCCCCTGTCAAATTCGCCGCACCTTTTTCCCGCAATGGCCGTGGATAAAGCTGGTTCAGCTTCGTCTGTCAGGCGGACCGCGATAGATAACATATACTCGTGTGGTCACTCTTGTCTGATTATCGACCGAGATCAGCAGTGCCATGTACCCTTTCTACGTTGCTTACCGAAATCCGCATCGTGTGCTGGTATCAGACGGATAGAACGGACCACCTAGGGCAACACCGAGGGCCAGGGAAGTAAAATTCCCTCATACACATGTGGTCTTGGCAATCGGCCTCCAACCTTACCGAAACCCCGAAATGCCCACAACGTTCCGTGTGCGGATAACACTGACCCCACCCCATTCACACGCTTCGACATTTCCCAACGGTTGTCATACGAGTTCGTATGACCTCGTCGTGACACGGTTCCTTGCGGCGACGGTCGCTGCCTCTCAAACTCCGCGGTAGTATTTCTCCCTATTTCAAATGCGCCGGAGGGTTGTAAAACGTGCGTACACGCGAACGCCATAGCCCGGGGCGTGGGGTGATAATGTCATCGATATCACCGCGGTTGGGGTCTGGACTGACCATAAGACAAGGACGCAAAACTACCCGTGGGTAAAAACAATAAGAGGTAACAAATTGGTCGATCGTGTGATTACCACTACTCGCCAGGGCTACTGCACTTTTCCTCCTGACCCTGAAATCGGCTAGTTAACCTATCGCACTTTCCTGGAACGGTGGATCCCTTGAGAAGGACGTCTTAAGAAAAAGGAGATATGAAGATGCAGTGTCGGCGGGAAATGCCGAACGTAACAGCTGATCCTGCTGCTTCTCCTGCTCCGCCAGTGGGCCAGTGGCAAGTCGATGCTTATGACGAGATCGGAATGGATGTTTCGCTAAGAAAGGTTAAAGTCGTGGGTGTGGAGCCTTGGCGTGTGCGCATTGCTGGTTGCCACTTGCCCATTGAAACCGTGGTTCAAGTGCGAATCAAGATCGGATAAAAAGACCATCAGAAAAAAAGAGGTCCAGAGGTCAGTAATTACATAATGTGTGTGCTGCAGGAGTCCATCCACCACCAGGGTCGTTATCATGCGCGGCCGTGCGCATGCACCTCCGCATATGGTGAGACTTTGCAACGAAGTATCTGTCACAGACATCCATAATGAAAATATAAGTAAGCGCATACACACGCACCCACACAGCAACAGAGTACATACAGCATCCGCGAAGTAGCGCGTCATGTCATGTGTCACTGATAACCGATCTAATGACTCGCTTGTGTGGTCACGGCGACCGAATGTCTAATGGATTTCGGCAATTTGCTACTCCGCGTCGCCACGGGTTTGTAGACCTCTTGGTTTTATCCGCACATATGCAAGCTCTTCAGTGCCTGTTAGATTCGTTGGACGGAAGTCTGTGGAGGTGGGACGAAGTGAGTTGATGTGCCGCTAAAAACAAGGTTACCGGGTCGTGTTCAAGGTTCCTCGTGTATCTGAATTAATCGTCCTAGGTGCTTCCACCAGCATACTATCTAGAAACCTCGTTGTCAGAGGCAGATGATAGGACATGGCATATCTTTGCACCATAGCTTCGTGGGCACTTCAGGGTTCCCATGGTCCCAAGGTCAGTCATGTGCATTCCGTACGCCCGGTACGTACCAGGTTGGTGCGTGGCAGATGGATGACAATAGCAGGTTCACTACAAGCTATGAGTGTAAATGGGGAGAATGGACATGACGGCGACCTTTCTCCGTGTGTGTTTACGGGATGGCAATGACAGAGAGGGTTCTCCAGGGCTTAATTAAACGAAGCTGCGCGGTGTTGCGAGGGCTCCTAGTGGTAGGTCAGGGCGCAGCCCGAAGACAGGGCTGGTACGATCCATCATCATGGCTTTATGGCCTAGGTCTGCTGTTGTCAGGGATACCACAGGAATCTTGGGAAGAAAGAGTAAGTCCAAGGACGGCGAATGCCTTGTTGTGCACAGTCAGTCAGTCTAGCCCTGCATCTTCGTTATCTCTATGGTTCTCGCAGTGGAATATGCACACTAACACCACTCAATCGACGGATCGGTGGGACACATAGTATGGGCGACCGTCCCCCATTCCACTGCTCCTGCTTCTAAAAACTTTTCAAATCAAGATATTCGGTATACACAATCAAATGTGCGTGTGCGTGTGTGTACAGCACCTTGGTTGAACTGGTTTACGATGGGCACGTGAGAAAGGGAAGCCGAATATCGACGAAGCAGATGTGGTGGTGGAGAAGAGGGAAACCTCCGAACGCGGAATGGATGGTGGTGCACAGGTTCTTGAGATAGATGACCGATCAAGCGGGACTCCATGCGGACTCAGGGGAGAGTCACGTCAGCGTATAGCAGCATAACCGCGGTAGGCAGGGGATCACAGATCCATGGATGGACTCTGAGGGGGGATCAAGCCAGGATTTCTTGTGCATAGCAAGAACGTTCCTTGGGTTTGGAATCCGTCGAGCTGTGTGAGCTGCGAGCACGCTGTAGGGGTGATATCCGTCGGACGATATCCACCTGCCGGCTATTGCAAGCGTTACAACCACACGTTTTAATTGATGTTTGAGCGATTCAATGTAGCATGATTGTGAACTGTAAGTTTGAGCGTGGCGCCTGGCTATGTCGATACTTGATATTGCAAAGTTCTCCCACGGCGGAGAACGGAGGTTTCGAGTGTACTAAGTCCCAGCGAGTAATCTGTTCGTGACGAAGAAATGTTTGTTACCGCAACCCATTCGAACGCATAGCCATGATCGGGCTACCAAGCCGATTCGCCGATTCAGAAAATCCCCAACGGAACAGAGGGCTGAAATGTTAGAATACCGTTCGCACTAGCAGTTCAATCACCAATGTCACGGGCCTCTGTTCAATGAAAACTTTGATAGCCTATGATTCCCGAAAAAAACTGTATTCTGTGAGCGCATTCGCAGTGTATAACGGACAAGAGAGGTATGCACACACCTTTTTTTGTTTTGCATTTTGTTTTGTTTAAATCCTTGTTTACGGTCCTTAAGGGGCTTAGCCCTATGGTAGACCTTACACGCGTGTTGTAAATTGTACGGTATCTAACGACAACCTAAGGGTTGTGAAAGTGGTCTTGGCTATCGGAAGCCGACACGGAGGTCAGCGTTGTGTACACACCTAGTTTGAAGTACACGCTCATGCTCGAGTTGGTGGCACAACCAGATTGAGTGTCTATGAGTTTTACGGCAGTCGGCTAAGGCTTACCCGGAGGAATATTGGTATTCCCTCCCTTCGATGATCATTCATCTTCAATATTCAATCCCCACTACCGCTGTATCACTAGCACCGACATCCCTATCAGATCGGAGGGATCACAGGAACCAAGTACGCTTAGCCTCCCCTCAACCCCTCGAGTTTCAGGCCCCTTCGGAAAGGTCTTCGTGCCGTGCAGTGCAGCCGGCCTCTCCCACCGATCAATCAGCTAGTCTGTGTTCGGTAGTGTCGAACCTCCTTGGTCGGAATCACTTACTCCTATTGGTGTGACTTACTTTTCCTGCTCACACTGGGGACACATCGAATGTTTGGGAATTGGAAGACGGTGCCGATGTGGTTAAGTTGTGTAGAGAAAAGACAAGTCCAGGGAAGGTTGCTACAGAAGTATGTACCATCAAGGTAGACGATGATACTAATCCCGCCGACTCACTTGCAACTTAATTACGTGCTGCGTTTTCCATGTGAAGATGCCATCAGCATCGCATTCGTAGGAATGAGTTACTGGATGTGAGCAAGGGGCACGCATTACTTTATCCGACAGCGGGGGCTACATAAGAGCGTGAATGGAGGATGTACGATAAGCGGGTAATGCATAGGGACTTTTGGTAGTCTCTCAGAACTATTTCAAAGTCTAAGGAAATTCAGTGCTGCGACAACTATATCGATGATACACAGCGTGTGATGACAAGATGGCGCGACGGAACAGTCGGCACGGATGACATGTATACCCCAATGAATCGATACTCGACACGTGTAAGTTGACGATGGTCTACCTTCCTATGTCGCAAGTGCTACTAGAAGCGCTACCGAGTTGTTCCGTCTGGGAGGGTCGATTCCCTCTTGCAGACCTGCGCATTCACGTCAGCGATCGTGGCGGATAAATAACGAAAGAATTGGAAGATGAATTAATTTAAGTCGGATTAGGAAGAGAAGGAAGTGGTGTGGAAGAAGGGGAGGGGGAATCAGATGAACGTACAACGCGTGCCGTAGGTAGAGTAGTTACAACCTGGAAAAATGAGGCCAGGCATCAGTTCCCATTTTTCTCTTCCAGAGAAGAAAAGAAGCGGACGTTGTACATACAGGTTTTGCAAACGGCTCTTCTCCTTCCGGCCGGGCTTCCACATTACGATACTCAGACAGTTGTGCCTTCGTTCCCGCCTGAGGCAGCGGGGTTGAAGGCGATGCGGCAATTGCGGCGGCGGGGCTGTTAATACGAATTGGAGTAGAGTGTGTACTCGCCCATTCAGTAGGCGATTCGGGTCTTTTCGGTGATACTTCACCGACTGAACTGCGAGCAGGCGATTGTCTATAGGAAAAAGGAGCTTCCGATTGTGGAGAATCTTGCGGTCGTGGTCGAGGTTCCTGCTGCCACTGCCTTTCATCACCTGGGGACGTTAACAAGTGTACGTCCGTGGGCTGTCTTTGTCTCCTCGACGTAACGCAGAATATAGCTGCGATGGAAATTCCAATTGTAACTAAAGCGGAGTTTAGTACGTTCCGAATGCGAGATGGGACACTAATATCTTTCGTGCACGGACTGGAAGGGGCGTGGATCACATCAACGACGTGGAATGACGTACTGACTACCACGCCGGGTATCGCCACAAATATGGCGGGGGATTGTTGGGCAACGCTAGGCTGACTAGAAGGCGACACCGTTGGAGGTAGATGTAGCACCACGGTACTGACAATGTAAACGGACTAGTTTTGCAGTCGTCGAATAGGTTGAGTAGCGGGGGGTAAAGTACGGTGGGGGACGGTGACAAGAACCAAGTTCGTGTGCTGTTGGCCATGATAATTATTACAGGAGTGCTTGGCTCGCAGAATGGGGAAGACCGAGTCCGGGCCAAGCATACGGTATGTCAGCAGTATGTCTCGGCGTCCTTCGCACACGTCCATGGCGCCCGTCACGTGACAACATTGCCCGCCACAAGAGATTCTGGGCACCTGAATCGACCGCAAATGTGATAGCCTGAAATAAAAAAGCCGAGTACAATTCCGAGAGTTTCCTGGAACAGGAGACACGTTGTGCGCATACTCTGGCGGCCCTTAACGACCGCGAGCCGGTGGATCTAACGGAAAGCACTTCTTGGAGCTAGGGTACTGACGCATAAAGGACGACAGTAGTACGCGACAAGAAAACGACGACGACTCGTGGCGATCTGCTGACCTATCACATGCAGAAAACGTCGGTTCCATCTAGTTCATTTCCTCTGAATGTTGCTCGGAGTCAGAATGGTCTCCAGGCTGTTTTGCATGTCGTCTCGTGATTGTTCGCCTCTTAAACGGCTCCCCCCGTTCCGCCTCATACTCCTGTACAAGTTCTCTAATATGTCTGCGCCGCTCCATACCAAATTCCTGCGCTTCTTGCTGAGCTTGGGCCAAGTTGGCAGCTGCGCTTCGGTCACGAGTTCTCCCTGGTGACATGGTAGGTGCCAGCAATATGGCAACGCACTTCATGCCAAAGAACGAGTATGAATCTCAGATCTCCGCAGTAATAGATGCACATGGCAGATGGGCGAACTCACCAGCCCTGCTATACACATACCTTTCAGGATAGCACTTATATCATCTGGCGCTGATGTACTGGACGTATCTGAAGGCTTGAGTAAAGTCAATGATATGTGGTTGTAACCCGGCTAGGCCAGAGTGGATGTATACTCGCCTGTGCGTGCATATCGTCAAAATGCATGCTCCCCATACCCATGCCCACACCGCCAGGAGATCTACCGTACTGTCTGGGTCGATGTCTCCGAGCGATCTCAGCTTGAAGCAGATCATCATACGTCCCCGTTCCCGCCCGACGGGGGCGTCGGAGTGCCTCGTAGGCGCGTTGAAAAGCTTGGAAACGGCTCGTGCGCTCGGAGTGCGGAATATTCTGTGCACGAACGGAGTCGGGATGGTATAGTTTGACGAGTTCGTAATCTGTATGAACAAAGGGGTACATGAGGTGTGGGATGATAAATCAGGCTGATGCGACGCTTGAGAGAAAGCGTGGCAGAGGGTGCGACAGCCACACCAAAGAGTAGACGTTGCTTACAGGCCATGATACTCACATCTGGCTTTAATTTGAGCCTGAGAAGCGTTTGAAGGCAGATGGAAGATTTCTTCGGGTGTCGGATTGCGGCGTGTGGGGCAAGGATACTGACCGGTGCAGCTCGTAGAAACCCATCTGGAGTCCAGTAGCGTTCGACGGTTAAATATGACTGAACATTGACGACGACATGTTGGTTGCAATTGCATCGGGCGTCGTGGAGCGTTTAGGTGGTCTAGCGATACGAGTGGTAAAACAGGTGACATCAGTTCGGAGGTGCCGGTCCAAATTTGTCCGCGGGCCGTCCGCTTCAAAGCCTGAAGAGATCTTCCACGAGCTTTTCAGATACATTCACGACAAAGAGCCAATTAGACTGGGACACGCGTTGTCTCGCCAAACGTTTCATCGACCAGTGCCATATATCATCTGGAAAACTGTTCCTCACTTGATGCCCATATTGCAGTGGCTACACTGTCCGGGGGAGGGTCGGCCCTTCAGTTTCAGGTCTGGACACCCTATTAGGCGGCACACCCAGCATCCTTTTTGTACATGTAACCAACTGTTAGGCCCGTCTGACCTGTACCTTCTGCAATTTTCCTCTCTCCGGTATCCTTGAGAAAGGGGAGGAGGATCGGGAAATATCACGACGTCTTCCGGGTTATCTAGGTTTAAAAGCAGCAACTTCTCTGGTACGTATGTCCATCACCTCTCGAGTGCAGAATCCGGTACGGTACCAGACGCTGCGCACGAACCATAATGGATGGTGGGATGTACCACCTTGACGTATCTTTTCCCAACTCATGTACGCTGTCCTTATACTTGGGATCCCTCGCGCCCTGTTATCCCTGGGGAATTATTAGGGTCGCTCAAAGTTGGCGCCTACGCCGCTGCCAACACCTAAGCCTACAGCTCATTTCCTAATTTCATGCTAGGCGTTGGCGTAAGCACCGACTTTGAATTTGAGCGACCTAGTAACTAACATTGTTCTACCATTTGTCAGCACCTTGATTTTGCCCATACCTCTGGGCGCTCCGTCTTGCTTAACCACCAGCAGCAACATTCTTTCAACGCGACTTGCCCCTACTCTCGTTATCTTTTCTTCCAGGTTTGCGGTGCTTTTGGCATCAATGGTGATATTGACTCTTCAGAACCTATTGTGGACGTTGGAAGCTCTCCAAACTGAACTCACCCCCTTCTAGTTCTACATTGAAATCTCTAACTGCGTTGATTTCCTGTAGGCGGCTGGTGTAGCATATCCCTCCAGATAAAAAGTTCGTCTCGCTCTTCTGCTGTCCCATCACACAGCCTTGTTTATTCCCCCACGGGTTGAGGACATCGGAATTGTGATCAAGATCGTTTCTGTACCTACATCTGCTGAAGATAAATGTGGTTTGATGATTCCCCTGGACGAGGAATCCGGGCGTGTGGAGGCGATCGTGAACGCGCACGGACTCATCTTGTATATACATCCTCTAAGGTCCTGGAAATGCTCGTGCACCTATTATAATATAGGCTCTGTCCTCGCAACACGCTTATTTTTCTCGGAACCGCCTGGCTCGTTGGTAGCCTTTGGCGCTGGGAAACAGGTTAAGGCCCATGTGGATCTTCATATCCGTGCATTTCGGTCTATTGAGTGATTTGCGATCGTCAGTCAATCAAAGAATACATGTTTGGAAAACCTGCTGTCTGTGCTTCGAACCGTGCATGGTTAAAATGGACAGGAGATGTGATGGTACTCAAGTCGGTAGGTGTCGGGTTATAAGACATTGCTTTTGTGAGGCATGTGGTGTCCAAGGCAGAGGGTATCAGAGAGATTGTGGAGGATTTCCATGCCTCAGGGTAATTGAGACTTGCCCTGCTTTGGCCTACATGGTTTTTGCAGAAAAGATTATTCAAAGGTATAGCCTTGATGTTATTCGATGCTAGAATCGACTGGTACACAAGCAGCACACCTCTTGCATCACATAGACATTCAAGAGACTTCAGGTTGTTGAGGCAACATGACAAGTCTGAGCTCTCAGGAAGGTGTCACTGACACACCCAGTATCATTGGTGACAATGAGTCTCCCAACTTCAAAGCCTGCATCCACTGATCTGCAACAGCACAGGCCCAGTGGTGGGTGCACTTTTGGGGGGATTGCAATTGGTGAATGGGGTGACTCACTCCTGGGGTATGTTGGGGACAAAAGCCAACCATTTCATCCTTCCTGTACCCCTTGCTTGTATCTTGTCAATGTCAACCAGTCTGTCAATTTGTGTCAATGATGGCTTGTGGCATGATGCAATAATTTAGCTTGTACATAAGGCACTGGCATGAGTGTGTCAGTACACCAAGGATCCATATTGTAGCATAGCTCTTGAAACTGGGATGCACAATCAGCAGGACTATGTGTATGAAGATGGGAACAGGGGATGGTATCCATACAGTTGTCCAATGTCATGTCCCCATTGAAGGCCTATACTGGTCAGGAGAGGGTCACACCGAAATTGCACCAAAAATTGCCAAACTGCTCACCGTTGCCTGCATCATTTGTAATTGACCACCACCAACTCTTCCCAGTCCCCCCATCGAAGCACAACAACATCATGCAATGCTGCTTGCTTTTGTCCCCTTCGCACACTGTGTTCAGGTCCATGGAGATGAGGTATGTCATTCCATTCATGAGGAGAGAATTTGTTGGTGGGAATGGGGACATTGATGCTGCAGTAAAAGCATTCAACGACATGGATCCTATTTCGTGTATTGGTAAAGGTGCTGTTGATGTTGTTGGTTGGGCAGACACCACAGTTATTGAGGCTCAAAATATGAACAATACATTTCTCAAGCCTTTCAAAGTCTTCAACCAAGTCACCACCACTCTTGCCCATGGGAGTGCTTCAGTTTTGCATCATTACAATGATTGCATGAATGTTCCAGGTCCACCCCTATGCCCAGATTGTGCTGGTGGTCTTAACATTTGCTTCTCAGGTGCATTTCAAATTACTACTCTCATTCCTCATCCCACATAGTAGTCTATAGTTATTCATACATCATGCAAATCTAGACAATGCTGTGTCTGGCCTTCTTGATACAGTCCAAAATGTCTATGATTTTCTATCAGAACTAGATACTATTAACCATATTGAAAGCATGAAAGATACCCTTGTGAAGATTGCATGTGTGATAAGCAAGTCTGCACAGTTCATCAAAAACTATTTTGAGATGAAGAGCTTTTGTAGGTCTTATACTCTTTTCAGCTTCAGTTTTTGATGCAATCCTTAGGGTTGTGGGCTGGAAAGAATGTCTTCTCTGAAATGCAAACTGTCATTGATGGTTACATGGGGGCTCTGGCTAACTTGATGCAACAATACTGTGACCATGCAATTCAAGACACTCATATCAACATGTACTGCATATTGGAGGACCTCAGCCTTGATGGCATGGCTTATGCAGATGGAGTGGGCTTCATTATGACAAAGAAGTGCCTTGACAGTACAAGGACAGAGATCTTGCAGGAGATCATCAGCTGGATTAATGATTCTGGCATTGATACTCCTTGCATCTTGTGGCTTCATGGGCAGGCTGGAAGAGGAAAATCAGCCATTGTGCATACAATTGCATCATGGATCACAGATGTTGGGGGACTTGGGTCCTGCTTTTGCTTTGTGCATGACAGGCTCACTGTGGAACCATTGTCCCAAGTTGATGGGGCAATAGTTGGGGATGTTGTCATAGTGATTGATGCCTTGGATGAAAGTGGACCAGACACATTGAGAGAGCACATCCTGTGCCTTCTTGCATCAAAAGAAGCTGCTTGTTTACCCTCCAATTTCTGCATCTTTCTGACATCAAGGTCATTGCCAGACATTGAACATGTCCTCCATGTCACTTCTCATGTGAAGGCAATGTCATTAGACAACATCTCTGCAGTGTCTGTGGAACACAATATCCAACTATATGTTTCCAGTGAACTTGGCAATCTTTGAGAGATGGGTGCTGCAGAAATTCAGATGGTCTATTTGAATGGGCCTGTCTAGCATGCAGGTTCATCCAGCCAAATAGGCTGGGTTGAATGATCCTGGAGTGGTACAATGAGGTCATGTTCCCCTGTTCCAAAGGTGGAAGAATCTTGTTGGGCACCATGTACAGAACAATCCTTGAGGACACTGTACCAGAGGACAGACCATGCTTGCACAGTTTTGCTCCATGATGCAACAGATAATGTCAATTTCTGCACCTCTGTGGCTGGATACCTTGAATGAAATGTGCAGTTGCTTCCCCTTGGAGGAACCATTTCAACATGATTATCATTCTTGAATTCATGGTGCCACTGCTGAGTGGAATATCAGACAGGTGCTCTGTTGTCTGACCTCTCCATGCATCATTCTATGACTTCTTCACTGATCATTCATGGAGTGGGGTGTATTTTATTGGTGGGGTGGGCACTGGCATGCATGGTAGCCTTGCCTTTGCATCATTGCAAACTCTTCACAGTAACCTAAAATTCAACATCTGTGGATTGGAAAGTTCATACATCAGCAATGCTGCCATTGCTGATTTGGAGGAGAGAGTCAAAACAAATATCCTGCTCAATCTCTCCTACTCTTGCCAATACTGGGCTGACCATCTGGAGAAAACTGTGTTTGATGCAACACTTGCATCATTGGTAAAAACCATTGTTGGAAGTGAAAGGTTCCTCTTTTGGGTTGAGACCTTGAGCCTTCTTAGTGGACTTGGACATGCTGCAAAGGCACTTGCCATCACCATAGCATGGCTACAGGTGAGTAAATTACAGTGGTGGTTGATTGTATCTAATATGACTTGCAAGGGCCAAGATAATTTTGAAGATACTTTGGCATTAGCATTGGATGAGAGCAAATTTCTCCAGCATTTTAGCAGTATAATCTTACACAGCACACTGTATCATGGTCATGCCTCAACCCTGGTTGGACTTGGTCTCACACTTGTTCAGTGTGGCCTCAGCCTTGCTAGTCCCTTACCCCAGATGTCCTAGTGCAGTGAACACTGCTTTGCAGTGTGTGTCACTTCGGATAAGTTCTGCCCAGCCTTGTCCCCAGTCTTCCCTGTCCTGGTCTCTGTTACCTTAGTCATACATTACTAATACTTGTCTTACCAATCATCTTAGCAATCTTTGTGAGACTGGCATTACCAGTCTCCTTACTATAGTTGTCTCTGGTATATAAACTCATAGATACCCAGCCTGTACTCTTCAGTCTGAAATCAACAAAGTTACTCTGATAATCTTGCCTTGGCCTCAGACT